TCTGTCATTTGCCGTTCCCATCATTTCTTCAGTATTAAAGATAGACTTATATTTTATTTTCAATTCTTCATTTAGATCTTCTAACGTGACTGAGTTTTTCAACCATTTTATTATTGCTGTAAGTTGAAGTGGAAGATGTTGAGGTGGATGTGCTGTTAGTTTCATGTTCATTAATTCATGTGGATATCGTTCTTTATTAGATAGAAAAACATACAATTCTATTGATTTAATTATCATTTGGAGATTTCCACTTCCATCTATCCACCACATGTCAAATAGCAGAGGTTTTGAATAAGCAGGATTTTGTTTAGTAAAATCGCCTTTAACATAATTAAGAATTTCACATACAAGTTTTGCGGCATTTTTCTGATCCTTTAGTTTAGGTTCACATTGCATTTTAAATGGTGTATAATGATATTCGGTAGCATAGTCAATAGCATGTTTTGAGATTCGAATTTCATTTTTATTTGTCGTTGTATTTTGAATCTGATATTGTTGATCAGAAGTGTTGTTCAGGTTATTTTCATTACGTTGTTGTTGTTAAAAGGTGATATTTGGAATCAGCATGATTTTCTCTATCATAATATGTGTGTAAAAGGCCAAACTAAAACCATGTAAATCCTTTGAATTAGCGGCGCCTTATCCACATAATACGCACCAAAGGTTTGTTTTTGTAAATCTCTACAGTAAAATAAAATGTTGTAAGGTGTGTTTTGGAACATATTTTCACAACTGATTCGAAACCCAATGGAGCATTTTTTTGTTTTTTTTCTTGCTTTTGGCTAGTGCCGTTCACCCGTTTTCCATTGGGCCACGTTACGACCACTCTTAAATTTCATCTGATCGAGTTAAAAATTTTACCAGGTGAGATACCCAAGATCATATCGTAGAGGTGCTTTTTGGAAAATTTGTTTAAGACGACTCCTGGTCGAATTCCAGGAAAAATACTGAAAAACGTCTCAAAAACCAAGTTTTTCAATTTTAGAAACCGTAAAACTCGGTTAAGAAAAGTCTACTATAAATTTCAAAAAAATACCTCTGCAATGGTGTCTTGAGTACCTCTACTAAAATTTTTAACTCGATTGAGTATATGGAGTATTTACATATATAGGTGCTGTGGCTGCAAAACGAAAAGGTGAATAATCCGATCGTCGATATATCGAGTAATATGTTGGGTATGGTATCGGGTTGTCTAGCTATATTGACTACTGTATTATGTTAGCTAGCTTGGATTGCCCAATACTCAATACTATTTTTTACCTGTATCTAGGTATATTGGGTATTGGACTGGATCGCCCAATACTCGATAGTTTTTATTCGCTTGGATTCTAGTGTACAGTTCTGACTGTTGTTGCAATCATGATTAATCGAAGACAGATTTCGTTATCGAACCATCGTGAATAAAAGTAAATCGCGACGTTAGCGTACAAAAACGCGATTGCAGTCGTAGTCTAGATTATCGACTGATCGCAACCGCTTTTCAGTCACGATTTTACACTATGAAATCGCGATTCCTTTTCTAATCGCCATGAGCTGTGATGGTTCGACTAAACAATTATGGTCCGATAATCGCGATTTTATGCGTCCAGATCGCTGATTGATCGTTTTTATTATCGATTAACTGGTTGTCAATCGATAAAAAGAACCTCATGGGATACAATTGAATATAGTGTAATATACCGCGGAAACCTACGAGATCGTTCTGCATCTCTTCACCGGACCTTTTAACCCCTACCCGAGATTACAGAATTTTTTTCTGTAAAAGGCTCGAATTTTTGAGTAAAGGACATAAAGAAAACGAATCTTTGAAATATCGAACAGGTTGGAGAATTTCTTCTTTTTTCCGATTGAACTTCCTATACTTGAAAATATGGAGAGTCATTGGGTATTCCAGTAAGAAGTGGATAATCCTTGGTCCAGGACACCCCTAGTCTCTGTTTGATGTGGTTCGAGAGTTATCAATATCAGCTGTGAACAACATAGCCTTACATAATATTCTAATCGATCGGTTTCTATTAGGCGTGCAACAATCCGATAGTTCGGTCATGGAACGGTTTGTAACCAAACATGTTCGACCTGAAAACTTGATGCGACCGAACGTGTTCGGACGAAGATTGCAAATACGATAGTTTATATTTTTCTCATCGGAGATGTCGGCGAGCGCTCTGTTGAGGAACTACTAGAACAAAATACCATAAACCTTATAAAGCTACATTCAACTAGGACTGCACCTTTCTGTAAACTTTATTTGCACAGTGAGGAAAAGCATTTTTGCATGAAAACAAAGTAAATCAATCTGCTGCAGAGGCCATATTAGTAAAAGTATGCTATAGTTAGAGAGTAAATAAGATATAATGGAACCTAAAGGTATACCTTTTTTGGTCTAGGAAGTTCAAAGTATATTTTGAACTTCCTAGACCAAAAAAACTTAAAATTGCTGCTCTAATTCAAACTTTCTTTACATGACTATCTATGGCTGCGGCGTAATCATGGCTGCTCCTTCGTATAGTGTAATTTTCACCATTTTTTCTGCTTTACAGAGATTTCTTTCATGTATTTTTTCGCTCTCACGTTCTTAGTTTTGACAAACTAATTTTTTAAACCTTTGGTAGCGAACCATCCGTTGATCGAACATGTTCCGTAGCGACCCGGCAGAACAGCAACGCTCACGTTGTACTTTAGTTAACCTATTTTCTCACTGGTTAGTTCCTTCAAAAACTTAAATTTCATTCCGTTTGCTTTTAGTCTAGACTAGCTATGCAATAATCTCAAGCTAGGGCTCGCTGATCGGTAGCGAACATGTTCGGTTATGAACCGTTTGGTGCCGATTAGCGAGCCCTGGGTTGGGATTGTTGCATGCCTAGTTTCTGTTCATAATCAAGCTCCATAATGGGGTTAAATAAGACAGGAGAAGAACAGTTTTTCTCAAACTCTGATTGAACGGCAACTTTTAACCACACACACTTCGTTTCCTTTCTTCGATAAACATTTTAGGGTATTTGATTCTTTTCCCGATATTTACACGTAATGTGCAGATAAAACGATTTCTTCTCTTCAAGAAAAAGGTATAGACTTTAACACAAGAACAGATTTTCTATTTTCATCGAAATCGCCACCTGTTTTATAGCCAATTAAGAGAATGCTCAATACGTCAACTTCTAGAAAACAAAATCAATTCCGCAGCATCCACATCTAGATTTTATCCCAACTAGAAGCAAAAAGAATCAACATCATGCCGAGCTGTGTTTCTGGACTGAATACAGTCCAGATTTTGAAATAGAGGCTTTATTGGGTTCATCGAATACTCAGATACTTTATGATGTTCATAACCTGCTTCTTTTGCGCAATATTATTGGTGATCAGACTCTCCTGTATTTATTTTCGTATATTCAACGGTAGATCTAATATTACGTAATGTGCGTAAGCGATCAACGTTTAAAAACATGACACTCGATTCGAGGACGGGAGGTAGATGTTTCTTTCCATATACTCTTCAGCAATGCCATACATTAGTTCAAAATTTGAGAAAAACTCCTCTAAAATATTCGAAAACAACTTCTCATATATTATAGATGTGTAATTTCTCACATTCAAGGTAAATATATTTAAAAATTTTTTCTTCACTCATTTTCAGTAGAATTCAAATAATTTCGCATCGGAAGTAGGGGTGGCACATTACTGTTACTTTTAAGAGTAATCCAAATATTGTATATATCCCTATTACCAGTAACAGTAATTCTTTCCAGTTTTACTGTTGCCGGTACAAATTTTATGAGCATTCCTATTACCAGCAACAGTAAAACTGGAAAGAATTACTGTTACTGGTTTTTGGATTACTGATTTGGATTACTCGTAAAAGTAACGGTAATGTGCCACCCCTAATCGGAAGAGCAGATTTTTAAACTAGTTTATGGCAGAAGTTATAAAATTCTCCATAATTTAAGAGTATCTAACGATCATCAAAGTTCGAAACGCGGAATGGCAGAAACCAATGAGATGATGGAAGAAATTGCCGCAAAAAACTCCAAAGCCCATGAGCATCACATGATTTTTTTTCTCTCTGGGATTGACCACTTTTAAAACTTTTTCAGTTGTGACTAGAGGAATCTGTTCTTCAAAATTTCCCCAATCTTCTCACGGTGCGTCCACATATGGATGCGGTCTAGTTACCGTGGGTTCATCGAATAGATTTACATAGTGATTTCCAGCAATTTCTGCCATTCTACTCGGTTCCCTAACCGTTTCCCCAGTCGACGTTAAAAACGAATGAAGTAACGATGAGACGGGTTTAAAAGACTCGCTAGAATTCAAATAATTCTGCATTGGAAGAGCAGTTTTTTAAATTAGCGTGTGGCAGAAGTCATGAAATTCTCCATAAAGGTATCTAACGGTCATCAAAGTTCGGAATAGTCTGCTGAGCATGCTCCGTCGTGACTTATATGCAGTGGCCCTTCATAATTAATTCAGTAGCATGAACCGACCCTGTTAAGAAATTATTTTTTATTATACGTAAAACGATTATTGGCTTTTATGCACAAAAAGTTTACACACAAAATCACATATCTCCAAGCCGCATGTATAATTAATATGCGGATACTAGAAAAAAGTTAGACCTTTTTTGATAAAATTTCGTTTTCTGTTTTCACTTTTGTTTGCTCGATTTTTTCTTAATCATCAAATTCTTCTTTGTCGAACACGTATTCACCAAGTCCAAGGCCAACACGTTTCCAATTTGTTATATAGTCACCATATTCTTTTATTTTATCAACTTGTTTATCAAGAAATTCGCCTTCAATATATTCTGTCAAATGCGGATCATTGTGCTTACAAGCAGATGCATGTAGTTCTAAAAATGCATTATAAATATCTTTTTCTAGTTGTAAGGCTACTTCATGAGCTTCCAATGGTGAATTCCAATTTTGTTGTGTTGGCTTCTGAAATAAACACAAAACCGTTAACTTTAGTAGTTAGAAAGACATCTTAAAAGAAAGTGTAATCCACAGCACACACAAATTTTTTAAAATAATATCATTGATAGCAAAGATAAAAAAGATACATAGATTATTCCATAGTAGACGAAGGACTGTTTATATAGCGTTACATATTCTATGATTTCAAAATAAGTAGAAACAGATCGATCGATATACTGTAAGTTCTATAACCCTTGATCGAACTTTACCAGCAACTCAACAGAAATTACCAAGCCTGGTTTTAGCATTACATTGTTAACAATACTCTTACTTCTACATCCATATAGACAATTGTACCGCCACGTTTATTTTGATATTCCAGTAAGCTTTTTGCATGTTCAACCTTTTTTTCAGCCATTTCCTTGAAATACTTATGATTACCTAGAAGCAATATACATAGAGATATCATCTCCAATATTAATTAAGCAAACTCTTCGTTAGGTACCTTTAAATGCAACATCATAACGATCAAAATGAAATGCCAACGCCTGATAAACATAACTTGCATATAATTCAATATTAATTTGACGATTAATTAAACCTTCATTGTCCTGATGATAATTAATACGTATCAGATTTTTGTCTGGTTGTTTTTCTGCAACTGGTACTTGATTACGATTAGTACTCTGTTCCGCTTTTGTTTTCATTGTTGTATTATCCATTATTGTTACGAATGTATAATTTACTTAAATATGCGTAGGTATGTAGAATATGAGAAATATTTGTAAAATTTGAGTGCTTTTATAGACCACACACGAATTGCTCGAACAGTCACTGCTGCTGCAAAACAAATCGAAAACTGACTAACATTAACCATCAACACTTATATATATGTAACAGAAAGGAAAAATGGAGAATGAGGAATGTTTTTTCTTCTATGATAGATATGACATTTACGTTTTTGCCGTATCATTATTATATAATTATATTTTTCATAGTAAAAAGAATATATCTTAAAGATAAACGGACATTAAAAGAAAAAGAATGTACTAAGCCCTGAGAACGTGTGATGGATATGCAGGACATCATGTAGGTTAGAAAAGTTAGATTTTTTTGATAAAATGTCGTTTTTTCTTTTCAGTTTTTGCCCGATTTTGTCTTAGTCATCAAACTCTTCTTTATCGAAAACGTATTTCAGCAGAATTCTTTGTGCGTCTTTCTTATGTTTTAGCATAAAATATTAAAATTTTAATCAAGACTTAAACTACGGAACGTGGAGAGTCTGCCCTACTTCAAGCAAGATTTTACCTGTGTTCAGTTGGGCATGCTGTATAGTTTAAGCGTTTCCCTGCTGACGGAGACAGGAAGCCGGTCCATTCAAATACAGAAGATAAATACAGGAGAGCCTGATTACCAATAACATTGCATAAAAGAAGCAAGTTATAAAGTGTCTGAGTATTCGACCAATCTAATATATCCAAAGCCTTCTCGTTGCCACACAATTGATTGGCTCTCGAAACGAGAAGAGCAGTTCTGCACTGTAGTCATAATACCGACCGAAGGATGAATGGATTTCCATAATCGTCATGCACAAGGTTTTGTCATCAAAATAATGATTGACAAAGTGAACATATGAATACACCAAGCGCAGACAATTCTCCAATATTAACACATTATCCAATATTTATTGAAGGAGAACAGTTCCAAATAATAGAAGAATACCTCACCAGAGTTATGGAGACCTAAATGTCAAAGCCTAGATGCTGTGAATCACACGTTCTTTTAAGATGCCTTTTTAACTACTAAACAGTTTGTCAAGTTTGAAAAAGTGGAATTTCTGGAAACATTCAGCATGTCTTGCGCACTGCTTCGTCCCGAAATTTACTTCGAAGTTCTTAGAGGTCTCAAATACTCAAAGTTCCAGGTCAATTGGCTATAGGCTATGACTGCGTTGCACAAACTCCAGGTGAGTCACTTAACTCCTTTAGACTGAGACTGAGTGAGTCTAACTAGAGAAAGCATAAACAGCAAAACAGAAGAGTAAAATGTAAAAAATTGAATGCATTCCAGAGTTTTACTGAATGAAGAAGCTGTTAAAAAGTTTAACTGCGCTCGCGTTTATGCGTTAAAAAAGTGAAATGCATGCAAAGTCGTGTCATCACATTTCATCCCTTCATATTCATTAAATAATGAAATGTATGTAAAGGCACCAGAGATGCGCGAGACAATATTTTCCACATGCCGTTTCGCCAAAATTTTCTAAAACTGTAAACTGTAAACTACTAAATCTGTAAACTTCTTGTATAATGAAGACGAAGATGAGAAGAAGATTTGGCTGATAGTGGGAAAGAAGTATGACATATTGATAACACAGAAGAGGATTCAGACAATGTAGATGGACTAGTCTCGATGTCATCAATTTTTCTCTTAAAATCCAACCTAGTCTGACCATTTGCAAGTGGGATGGGAGATGATTTCAAACGAATTTTTCAACCATTTTAAACTTCAACGGTATAGCGTCATCCATATACTATATAGGTATGCACCGGTATCGGTATTTCTACCGAAATACCGATACCGAAAATACCGAACTTCGGTATATACCGATACCGAAAATACCGACTTTTTTCACTTAGAATTTTTTGGATTTTTTCATTTGAAATGAGATGTTTTAGCGTCCTGGACACCCAGAATGAATCAG